TTAGAATCGAATGAAGGCCAAATCTATCCGCCCATTAGATTGTGGTATTCAAACGAACTACACCAACGGTACTCTACATCGTCTCAGAGTCGACAAAAATTTTAAAAGGTAAACGTCTGTATCCTAACTATAGATTCCGCTGCGTTAGGATTTATTTTGATAAGTTCAATAATGTGCATGTTGTTTGACGTTACTCATAGAACCCAACAACTGGTATCAGAGCCCATGTTTAATTCAACCTCGTGCACAGTTTGAATTTGGACTTTGTCTGTCAACATGAATTATGTGCGTACGGACGCAACGGCATAGTAGATTAGAAATTGTAATATGATTTTGCAGGTGATTTCGAATCCGACTATTGTGGCCCGTATGTATGGATTTTAATTCATGTTGAGTGTATGTTGCTTTTAAAGCCTTGCATGTCGAGGAATTTTTGGGTTAGTGAATGCTTGTAATAAATTATTCACGCGGTGGGACACCGCTTAGTTTATTGCTTTCATAGAAACTCATGTACGGCTCCTGCGTGGGTCATAGGATGAATTATGTAATTATTGTTTATATTATTCATTATTGATCCGGCGGACGTGGACCAACCTTGACGGGGCGAGGCGATAAACGTGTACACGGATGCCATGGTGATGATCCAATGGCGACTTTCCCGGAGATGACCAATCCAGCGGGAGTCACTGTGAAAGGGGAGATCCAATACCTGAATCGGAGGACACACTCAACAAAGGACAGTATTGTGTTTTCTCCGTAACATTGGAGATTGATTAATGGCCATGATAGTTGGATTATAATCCATAGTTTACTATTGCTTATTAACCATGCATGTTTTATGTGATTGCTTATGTGCAAAACAAACATGTTTTAGAAAATCCCATAAATTAAAAATTATATTAAGTGTGTAATGGGTTGAAATAAATTACATCCAAGGCCTCCATTATAGGTTTGTTAGTGAAGTGATTTAATTCGAGCCCAAAGGACGTTTTATTTCACAGTTCACAAGGACGAATCTCCTTCAGAATGGTCATAGTGAGCTATTTCAAAGCGTACGGGTCACCTAAAGGTGGACGTATAATTTTGGTAGTAAACTTAGTACCTATTAATGGGTTACACTTAAAGTGCAAATAATTACGATAGTCCCAAAGGATAAGGTCGTTTTTATTCTTTTATAAGTTAATTGCGCTGGCCAAAAGATAAAACCGACTATTAGTTAAGTATTGCTCGGCAGTATGTTAAACTAATGGGGTTTATCCCTCCTCTTGCGAATGTCTGAATCGTAGACGTATCTCAGTTAATCGGTATGTTGTGCCGCATAATCGTCACCAGTTATTGAAATGCGGAGCCCATTTAAATGTTGAATGGTGCAATCAGTCGAGATCGATAAAATATTTATTTAAATATGTACATAAGGGTAATGACCGTCTGACTACTTCTTTTTACCAAAGCAAGACCGATGAAGAGAAGGCAGTCGTGGATGAGATCAATATGTATTACGACTGCCGCTATGTTT